CCGTTATCTTTACATGTCTCTTTTCAGCTGATCTTATATTATATTTACATGTCTTTGTTCAACTGATCTTTACCTTATCATTATAACTCTTTGTTTAGCTGATCATCCGTTATCTTTACGTCTCTTTTCAGCTGATCTTATGTTATATTTAAATGTCTTTGTTCAACTGATCCTTACCTTATCATTATAACTCTTTGTTCAGCTGATCATCCGTTATCTTTACGTCTCTTTTCAGCTGATCTTATGTTATATTTACATGTCTTTGTTCAACTGATCCTTACCTTATCATTATAACTCTTTGTTCAGCTGATCTTACTTAATCCTTATATCTCAGTTCAACTGATCCTTACTTCTTCTTTATATTGTTATTTAGTTGATTCGTCCTTCTCAGTTTATTTCATCCGATATCTACCTAATCTTTCTATCCTTGATCAGGTGACCTTTTAGGGTAATCTTCTATTTAACTAACACAAATAGTTTCAAAACTCAAGTTGATGGTAGCATAGCATTCAAATGTAAATTAAATAACACTGGACAAAAAAAAAGCCACTGAAAAGAACTCAAGCTATTCGAATAATTTGATGATGCTGATTTTCAAAATGTAGTCATAATTTGACCATCTTCTCTAGATTTTGAGCTATTATAATATCTCAATATTTTATCAGTACTATATGAAATATCATGCAATCAGTTCAGTACAATTGATATATGCTGTGAAGTTAAGTTTACTTGAACAGTTTAATGGGTAAAAGGTATACATTTTTGATAACTTCAAACATAGACTGTATTGTATTGGTGTGAAATTCCAAATATATTGTTTATATATGCTATTTGTTCTCGATATAATTGTAGCAAACTGCACCACTTTTGCTTCGTTCACATGGTCTGCCAGGGAATCACGAAACCCTCACAAGCTCAGTTTGCTAGAACATTCGAGAAGTCGCATTTTGAAGCAGTATTTGCTACCCGGAAATCTTTCAAACTGGTTGTCAAAAATTTCTTATAAAATCACAGAGATGAAAACTATGTTGTGGTGGTTGATGATATGCTTGAGAACTACAGGATGTCACTAAAGATGTACTTCATACACTCCCATTTAGACTTTTTTCCACATGATCTAGGAGCTGTGAGCGATGAGCACAGTGATCGCTTACTCCACGATATTTCTACAATGGAACAACGATATCAAGAATGATGGAATCCTGTGATGATGGAAGATTACTGTTGGTTTTTACAGCATGAAACTGAGAACATACACAAAATGAACAACAAGTCAAGAAGATATTTTGTAACAAAAATTTAGAAAATAATACCATGATGAAAGTTTTGAACACAGCCGGAATCTATTTTCAGTATATAATCTTATTATACTCATTGCATTTTGAAACTGGTATTGCTATTATGTATTG